CGAGTTGATATTTCGTGTTGTTGTGATGATAGCACGTGTGAATTGTTGTGTGGTTTGGTTGTTATTATGCGGAGTATAAGAGTGGCATTTCACCGTTATTGTTATGCGGGGTGTAAGGGTGGCTAATGATAATGTCAGGGCGGAGCGATAAGGATGGCTATTATACGGAGTGATGGTGGCTATAGGAGAGATAAGGGTGTGACTAATGATAATGTCAGGGCGATGGCTATCGGTGAGATAAGGGTGGCAAATGTCAGGGATGATGTGTGATGGTTGGAGACATTGTGTAGGAGATTTTCGTGTGATGGTGTACTTTTCCTTGTGTTTGTCATACACCTTACGTGACTTGCTTTGTTGTTTCAATGAGCTATTCGATGTCTTTAATATTACTTGTTAACTTGGGCTACAGTAGTACACTCGCACAAGCATACACTGTAGCATGCCACCTATACTAGCTCAAAAGTATGAAACTTTGACGTTTATTGATCATGCCCATGTGTTCTTGTTTTATCTCTTTCCATGTTGATATTGAGCATTATTGATCATGCCCATGTGTTCTTGTTTTATCTCTTTCCATGTTGATATTGAGCATTATTGATCATGCCCATGTGTTCTTGTTTTATCTCTTTCCATGTTGATATTGAGCATGTGACCATGCCGGACAGATTGTGATTGTGAGCCTGTGACCATGCCGGGCGTATTGTGATTGTGATCCTGTGACCATGTCGGACGGGTTGTGATTGTGAGCCTGTGACCATGCCGGGCGGATTGTGATTGTGAGCCTGTGATCATGCCGCACGGATTGAGATATTGGCACGTGAGTTGTCCGTGCGGTTGTGATTCGAGATGTGGGCACGAGGTGTCGTGAGTACATGATGATGGGTTGAGACCCATGACTTGTGATTATGATATGAGGTATCATGGAGTGATTTCGTTGTGAATCTTGTGTTTAAACGACTTGAATAATTGGTTGTCCTTTGTGTTACTTATTTGGTTTTAATGATTCTTCACAGTGTTCTTATTGTTTTACTGTTTATTTCAGTTGCTGATTCTTGTTACTATTTATTGATTTCCGCTTTCCGTTATTAGTTTTATACTTCTATACTGCACAGGTTATTTTGTCTACTGAGTGTCTTGACTTATACCTCGTCACTACTCCACCGAGGTTAGTCTTGATACTTATTGGGTGCCGACATAGGTGTACTCATACTACACTTTTGCATATTTTTATGCAGATCCAGATACTTAGAGTCTGTGGATTGTTAGATAGCGGATCATATATTGATGTGGAAACTTCAAGGTATACCTGCCGTCGCGTTCGCAGGCCTCGGAGTCACCTTCGGAAGTTATCTTTGTACAGTTTAATTCTATTTCGGAACAGTTGTACTTAGAGATTTTCTAGTGAACTCAATAGAGCTTGTGACTTGTACTACCGGTTTTAGGATTGTTAGCTTTGTATAGAAATTTCTGTTTCATATTTAATAGTCGTTGGTCAATTTTGCCATTAATTCAGTAAGTGTTAGGCTTATCTAGTCTTAAAAACTAGGTGTCATCACGACATCCTACGGAGGAAAATTGGGATCGTGACACGTGTGTAAGTTTTGTGAGTGATGTACACAAAATCATTAACCTCAACGACAAATTAACATTAGGAATGTTCCTAGAATGGATAGTTATGTATGCCTTTTCCTATCATATCTTAATACTCGCCCATCATTTTTCTTATCCATTCTCATTAGAAGAGTGTACTTTCTGTCTAGCTTATCCATTCTTATTGGCTCCTTTAAAGCTTTCAAATTTTAGAGGCGAAACCCCGCCTACAGCTCAAAAGCTATCTTCTCAGATCAATTCATGAACTTTATATGCATAGAAGAATAAAATGAACTCCTTATACATAGTAGGGAACTCATGATACTATGGGCACCCGTTTTTCTTTAGCAGAACTCCATTGTTATTTGGTTCTCTCTAAATATTCACCCATGTACACAAGCAGTTAACAATTTTACTTAGGTTGGTTTGACATTCACCATTATACACAGTAAGAAGAATTATATCACCTAAAGCTGAAGAGAAAAAAGGATCAGCAAATACGCTCAAAAAGTTTGTCTATGTCTGCACATCCAGGCAACATCAAGACAAACATAGGGCTACGTTCATCTAATTTTTAATGAATAATATAAATTTGTAAGGGTTCCATAAATATTTAGTCTCTTCGGGCAAAATGCAAAGCTCGAAAATTCAGTAAGTAACAGCAACAACGTCGATGAAATAAAAGATTAACAAGAGGGATTTGATAATGAAACTCAGAAAGAATGAATAGCAATATGCTCACGATGAAATTCATTCCAAGACTAAGCAACATTATGAAGTACATCATAAAGTTGGCGCGAATTTGTTACTTTCATTCTTTATCTCAAGGCGCTACCAATTGTTAACCCTTATTATTGAACTTGTTTCGGGGTTCGAGCTAAGTAAAAGTTCTTGTATAAGAGTTAAACTTTGTAGACATAACTTGATATGGTGCTTTAGATAATAAGGCAAAGAATAAGGAAGTACCTTGAGATTAATTATCAGGTAACTTAGAAGCAAGCGCCTCAGCAGAATCCGTAATTGTGTGACCGGGGCTTAAGATGGTAGAGTGCTATAAGCATTTGGTTTGGTTTATGATGGCTTCGGCTACGCCAGGATAGCGCCTCAGTTAAGTAATAAGAATAGTTAAACTCGTGTTATAAGACAGAATCTGAATGTGAGATGTTAACAAATATGAATAATTGCTCGATTACTCTAAGTCTAACCACATTTACTAAACTTTCTTGCATATACCAAGACAACCGAAGAACTTGTAGTACTTTTTACTTCATATGTTACTGACTGAAATGAGCTTAAATAAAGTGATATGACATGATGGCGAAAGAGCTACAAGGAAAATACAGAAGATAAAATCCATACTTAAAAGCTAACAAAGCAAAATAGGCAAGAAAGAAATGATACCAATAGTAAAGAAATAGTTATTCAGGTATTGCAGAAGAAACAAAAGACCGAGAAGAAAACTAAAAATATGAAAAACACATATCTGACAACCAATTTACCTGGGACAAATCTGAAGATACAAAAAACCAAAGATTATACTGGTTAGGACTCTAGCTGCATGTAGAACAATTTGCACCAATGGTAGACCATGGAAACAGTGTCCTACTTGGAAATGAAGAATACATAATTGGATACGGAACTGAGAGAGATTCGAGAATTTGATTAGACATGAATTTTTTTTGGCAATGAGAAGAATTGACACTTACCTAAACCAGGCAAGTGTTGGTTTAGGTTTCCATTGTCAACGTATTCGTAGACAAAGCACAAAGATCCTTCAACATAATATCCTATCAAACGTACCTGTGACGGTTTCAACATGTGAAATATTACCTCATGTTCTCTATGATGTATTAGGTTAAAGAAGCAGAACACTCTCACATTGGTGAGCTAAATGGCTCATATCACTAAATGGAGTGGAAATATTGAGCAATGTAGAATCTTTGAAAGGAAGTTTATCAATAAAAAAAAGGGAACGTGCACCATATTTTTGAAAGTCGCATTAAAAGAATCTAACCATCTCGTGGTGGCATATTGTATCATAGTGACTCCGTGACTATAGTAATCAAGGTATTGCAGAAACATAGTATATCGCTATGAGGTTTGAATTTACCAAGTTCAAGTGATGAACATGGGTCAAAACCTTCAATTCAGCCAAGAACTCTTTTGTTGCTTGCATATTCATCTTCTTGATTGCAGCTTTCTGCATATCAATTGAGACAAAGGAGATTAGCAGGCTAGCAGCATGAAACAGAAAACCAAACTATACTCATGACGAAGATAGTGATTCCTCATGCCTAAAGCAAGAGAAACGAGAAACAAGATACAATGGAAACTCTCACCGTATAATTTGATGGGTAACTAAAGTATACATCAAAAGATTCAAAACCATAAAGATTACCATGAACATGCTCATTACTACTATGTTTGTAAGGTGCCAAGTGAAGAAACGATTCTTCCTCCCTTTTCCTGCATCTATAAAATATAAGATACATGCAAACCGCTAAAAGGGCTACTACAAGAACTGCTGCCATTGCGCAACCTGAAATTCCTGTCAATAATGCAGTTTCTAGTAGATTACAATCATAGTCAAAGCTATTTTGATACCTTAGATTTGATAAGGTGAAAAAGATGTCACTGGAGCAGTAAAATAGGGCTAGCTGTTGAGCTGTAAAGAGCAAGAAACCATAATTAGCTATCAATATTATAGCATTGAAACCAAAATCAAAAGCTCATTAGGGTTGAAAAAAACATTGTATAAGTCCTTAATGGTGGATAAGTTCCATTCTGATATGCAATATATTTCAGAAATAGTGATTTAAGAGAAGAATACTACAAGATCAGCCAACCTTCAACATGCAGCTAAATGTGACTGTTTGTAAATATGGTATGCAAAAATTGCTCATCCGTTTAGAATATATAATGAGCATAGTTCCCATTTAATGCTTCCGCATCGATTTATGTGACAACACATTCTATTTCGACAAATTGTATTTAAAATATGCAAAGAATATGAGTATAGACAGCTTGGTAAAGAGAGATAAATATTACATTCGACATGGTTTATCAAGTTTATCACCGGTAGTACAATAAACAGTGCTCAGGAGGTTGTGAATATCTTACTAAGGCTAAAGCTAAGAAAATCCAATACAAAAGATAGTCAAAGCTACTACATGTACAGGGAAACGTTGCACCAATACCTTCTGTGTATATGTATGCAAAAGATTCCTCTTTCTTTGAACGCAAGGCATACTACCCGCTTTCGAGCCTGCAATTGTCGGTAAAAGTCGGATCTCTAAGTTAAATGAGATCAAATGATACAGAAAGAAACAAGATCAGAGCAACAATAAGAAAGGAAATATCGTCAAAAGAAGAGAGGTCAGTGTGTGCAGAAAAATACTAAGAAAAGAACATCAAAGGAGGAACTTGGTTGGGCTAGACATTGTTGCTAGTTCAATCGGAACTATAATAAGAAATACTTTTAACAGATGATAGTTAATTAACTGTTAAAATAAGAAACTTCAGTGTAAGAACAAAATAATGTAAGATAATGATGCGCATCTATGACCAAATGTAGGACAGTAAGACAAGAGGAACAACAAATGACCTGTGGAATCACCTTAGAGAAAATACATCACATCATTGCTTTACTAATGATCTCGCAGTAAACTATGTTCCAAGTATAATGATCATCATTGCTAGTTGGTGTCGGTGGCCGGATCAATAATTTTACACAGTTTGAGCACCTTGCTCTTGATAAGGCAACGTAAAGCTAACCATGTGAAAATACAGGTTCTCGCAAATAAATTCCGACAAAATCCAGAGTCTGCCCCAGTGCTTTATTTACAGTCATAGCAAAGCACAATCTTACTGGAAATTGTATTCTTTCAAAATGGAACTAACACCTTTTCATCCTGTGACGATAACAATGGTACTCTCGGTATGAATACATGCGCATTTTTGAAATCACCAGTTGTAATCTTAGCACTTGTAACATGAGTTTTAAAATCACAGCAGGTTAATCGTGTGACATTACATAAATCTTCATATGGGTTTAAATTTTGTAAAAGCATAATCGGGCAGTTTTCTTTCAAAGATAATTTGTAAGGAGGCAAGTTGGCTGGATTTAAACTGTGTAATAAATCTTCAAATTGTGTCTAATTATTAAGTTCAGTAGTCTCATCGATGCCAATAAATGTTCTTACTTTTCCGGGAAATCGATAAATAAGCATGTCATTTATTTCATTGATGAAATCATTTTTTGTAGTCAAAATTACACGAGAATCTGCACAGAATGAATTAGAGCAGAACGAATTCAAATTTGGGTATGTCTCTCTAAATAGTTTATCTAAAGATTCTTGTTCGGTTGTGAAAGGAATGACTAAAGAATTCGAAAATTCAATCTTGTTTGTTGAGTTAACTCGTTCCTGTCAATTTTCAATTCTCATCAAATAATCACAAAATGCGGGATCTGTTTTGACCCTCATATTTTCCGACAACTGTAATTTTTCAAGTTCATTCCAGATTCTAGAATAGAGCAAACTTTCATTAATAAAATCTTCCTTGTTTCCGTTTCGGACAACGGGTAGAGTTTGTCTAAAATCACCTCCTAGAACGACAACTTTTCCACCAAATAAGACCTTTGTATTCATCAGATCTTTTAGAAGTAAATCAAAAACTTCTAGCATTCTTTTGTTTGCCATAGATACTTCATCCCACAGAATTAACTTTGCATCTCGGATTAAACCAGCAAGTGCACTTTGTTTGCTAATGTTACAAGTGGCATTTTCTTCAATATCAATGGGAATTTTAAAGTGCGAATGTGCAGTACGCCCACCCGAGAGAATAGAGGCAGCAACACCAGAAGTAGTTGTTGCTAAAGCTATGTATCCCATAGACCGTATAGTTGCTAATAAAGCACGATATAAAAAAGTTTTTCCAGTTCTTCCAGGACCATCAACGAAAAATGCGCCAACTTTGTTTGAAAATACTCTCTCAGTGATCACATTATATGCTATAAGTTGATTTTTATTTAATCTAGTATGTAAGAAAATGTCTTCCTCACTAACGATGATAGATCTTTCAAAATGAATCTCTTTTGCCTATTTTGCTGCTGCCGAAGGCATGATAGCTTCTTCGATGAGCTCATACTCATTTACATCGTGACCCATAGAATGCAAAATATCGTTGATCTGATTCAAAGCTTGATATCAAATTTCTTTTCTTTCAATAGTTTTCAATACTTTATAGTCATCGGTCATTGATTCTTCAAATTGCTCCCATAATCTTCTTGGATTAGTAGGATTACAATACACCAGTAATGTAGCAAATAAACGTCTTAAATTGTATGGCATCTGATAACTTGCTGCTTCAGACATACATTCTACTAAACTGTTATCACAGTGTAGCAATCCTCTTTTCTCTACGGAATCTCTAAAAGTACTGCAAGGTTCTCCATTTACTGTCAAAAGATCATTATACAATGTTGGTCCTCACACATGCATTAGTAATAATCTAAGATAATATCGTTCTGCTTCTGTTGGATGACACGTTACAATGCGACCAACAACAGAATATTGTTTTCGACGTGCCCAAAATTTCTCACGAGGACCATACAAAGTTCTAAGGAAATTCTTTGTACAGTAATTTGAGCTCCTTCACATCTTCATCATGTTCATTCATGTAGAAGAAGTCTGTTAACATCGTTTTTCTGATCATCGGATTATTCAGAATCGTATCTATATCCATATTGCTCTTAAAAGAAACAAATTGTTGGCCTTCAAGATGTAGTTGAAGACGATAAACACGGGGTGACATTTCACTAATAGGAAAACCAAAGAGACGCCATATCGCTTCCGGCGGTGATACCCATCTGGCGGACTGATATTCTTTTACTTCATCTATCTCTATATTTGTATCATTATTCTGTACAAAGAATGCAATTTTGTCATGTCCTTTACAAATATATTTGTAAAGATATTTCACAACTTTGATGTCAGAGCAAACTTCGACATTTATATGACAGTTGAATTTCCAAGTAAATATGGATTGTATGAAACAACCCAAGAGTTATCTAAATATTGTCTTCTCAGTTTCACACTTTCACTACTTCTCATGTGTTTCGCCTTCTATAAATTGGATAAGAATCATTCCCTTTCGATGTTTGATCAGCAAACGTTTTTGGATATTTGAACTTGCAGCAACCTTTTTTGTTCATACAAGAATTTGTTGGGTATAAACTACCACAAGGACCATACATCATATGGTTAAGAACAAGCTTACGCAAATCTGGTTATGTATTATCATCTGGTAATTCTGCTCTAATTATATCATCGTACGCCTCAGCAGTCAACAATTTGTGTTCATTACTTAATATAATAAGAAAATGAGCATGAGGTAAACCTCGTTTCTGAAACTCCACAGTGTACATAAAAGCAGCAACTTTTCCGAAGATATTTCGTTTTAATATATCTGTCTTCAACTCTTCTATTTTGGCCCTGAACACCCTACTAATCAAATCAGGTCTATTTTGCGCCTCATCACTTGATGACAGATGTTCTTCTATTTCCATCCAAGATGGGTTATATGTCATAGTTATAAACAGATCAGGTTTTCCAAAATACTGCACTAACGCAATAACATCCATATAACGTTAACGCATATCTCTAGGGCCTCAAACGAAGGAATTTGGCAGAAATGTCTGCTTTCCAACTTTAGAAGCATCTCGTTCACCAAGTCTTAAAATGTCAAGAAGCCCTTGCAACATACTTATTCTGAAAAAATCTTGATTGAATGTAAAAAGAATCAGTCTTTGAGTTTCCAATTTTATATATTCATCAATTGAATACTGTTGAAATAATCTCCTGTATGTAAAATTTCATCTTCATCATCATTTCTCATTTGGAGCTTGTAACAGTAGTACTCACGTACCGAAACTGTCTCTCTTTTGCGTTTTTCTTTTTGCATATTTTGAGCTTCCATATCAAGGTATCCTTCAACGGAGGTAAATTTTTTTATATTTGGTAGTTGTTCAAATTCAAATAAATTATGATTTCTAGGGATATTTTCTGGCCCGTGAAACTTTTTAATACCACATTGCCATCCACCTTGACCATGTGGAAATAACAAGGGGTATTGTAAAGGATCATAGCATCCAAAATAATAGTTTACTCTTTGTGTCCTGCGGCTTTGAGCAGCACAATCATTTTCATCAACCCATATTGCAGCAATCTCAGTAGCAGTAGGCAAATTGTATACTCGTTTATCCAATCCAGTATCACATTTTAGTGTTATATGAAAGTTTTGCAGGTTTGGAATGTCTGTTAAAGATCGAAGAAATATAGAGTATGGATTATCTTTTAGTATGTCCATCAGTTCCCTCACTATAGATTCGTTTATTTTATTGGAGCAAGCCATTCTATTTTCAACCTCATTTACATTATCATAAAAGTATAGTTGCAAGTTTCTTGGTTTTCTTTCTTCGGGATATAAATCATCTATCATATGAAACATCTGTGCTTGAACTCTAAACGTATAGATACCACGGTTTCTCTTGGCTAAATCTTTATCATAACTGACACCAAGTGAGGTAAACGCAAATAAATTGTTATATGTTCTGCTATATGTTTGGAAGTGCTTGCTTTCTGCATTGGTTCCTACATATAAATTTCTCAGTCTATCTGGCATTTGGTGAGAGGTCAACCTCACTGTACCATTGTTACAGCAAAATCAAAGCGGTTCATATTGAAACTTTTTTGCATAGCAGAATTTACAACGTGGAACTTTCTTTAATGGAACATAATCAAAGCGTAGTTGCCTAATATTAATCGTAGTTTTCTTATTCTTTACACGACCTGCATATTGCAAACAACTCTAAGGGGCAGTAAAAGAAGAAACGTTAAATGGTAAATACTATCACTGAAGGATGGTGGTCATACTAACCGTTAGTTGCAGCTGTTTCAACGGTTGGAGCACATGATTTATTTGCGGTACCCGATGTTGAACCTAGTCCAAGACCGCTATTAATTTATGGTTGCACGTAACAAACACAGAAACTTAAATAGACACCATATTGTTTTGGGCCTACCTTTTCAAAAACATGAAAAGGATGAAGCATATCTTTCTCCTTGTCACATGAATCCAATGAAGAAAAACTTCCTCGCCCAGTTACTACATGGGGAGAATTAATGGTCATGATACATATGGATGCCACATGTATAATCATTATGTATGTACATACTAAAAAACCAAGAAAAGAAATAGGAGATTTGATATTTTAACCTGTTTCTGAAATAGAAAAAGCTACTCCAATATTAAGATCATCCTGCATGTGAGATGTCGTTCCATCGAGATTCACATGATTTGCATTTGCGAGAAGGCGATTGGTTGTTGCCTGTCGATATTTGAGGGGGCGTTGCAACAACTTTTCTTCTTTCTGAGTCATTTCTAAACAATTATCTATTTTACGGTGTTTGATATTTTTATCATGAGCTTCGTTCACTGAGCGATAATTCTTTTTTGATTGTTGATGATCCATTAATGTGCTTTTTCGCAAGCGTGGGTACTTCAGGCGTCTTGCACGTCACTGTGAGACCTTGTAGTTATATTGTTTCATCAAATAACAAGAGAAACTCATCAACGAGCAATTCAGAATATCTGCACAATGAATATCTCTGGAGGAACTCATGCCGCACAAAAATAGAGTAAGATAACACAATACGAAGAAAGAAAGAGCGTAAACTGAGACATCAACATATAAAAAGCCACCATATTCAGAAAGATGGTCATCTAATCAGCTACTCTAACCAACAGAAAACAATGTATAAACCTCAAATGAACAAAGCAACACAAATCAAAATAGATTAGGCGCTGCTAGCTTTGCAGTAAAGTACTCAGAGGAGACTGAGTAAAAATAAAAATTAATTACTACTTGTTCCTTTAACTTTGCAAAGGTAAATAGAAATTCAAGTGTTCACCTCCGTACTCTCTTTTAAGACTTCTATATGTCCATTTAGTGTTGGATTCCACGCCATACCGGAAAAAATTGTAGACCAACTTCTTTGCCTAGTTGAAACAGTACTAATCCAGTAGAACTTGCCACGGGAAAAGGATCTTTAAAACAGAAAATCAAAGGTATGCGCAAATAATAAATTCAATTTTCTTTTCATAGCCACAGTAGGATAAAGGAAAAGTTAACTAAATTCAGAAGTACACCAGTCGAAACTATGCAAACAGCTCCTAAATCGCAGGTAAAGTCATCACAGAAAATTTAATTCTAGCGATTGTGAAGTATATAAAAAAGAGAGAAACCATCGACCAACTATTTTACCCCAATTATACAGTTTAATCGAATAGGACCTGCGATGAGATAATAATTTAAAAATAACAGAAGGTGAGAAAATCAAAGAAGAGAGAAGAGCGCAGAAGTAAACTCACCGGATATCTCCACAGACGATGCAACGAAATCTAACAGTGCCAAAGAAGAGGAACGGAGATGAACGAAAACAAGAGGAATTTGGGGAATTTTCTCACACAGCACAGAGGAACCGCCAGCGAAGATGAGAACTGCATTTGCTTAAACGCGACATCAACTGAAGTTGATCTTGTAAGCACGTGGCAAAACCTGGAGCTAACACCTACACGTACCTGGTTGCAAAATTCCGAAAATACCCCTCAGCGTGCAAGCAGCTAACAGAAGCTCCTCAAACTCTCCCTTATTAATAGTAGGAAAATATATATATATAAGATAGATATACACTATGTTAACTTATGAATACATAGAAATCAAACTAAAATTTAAAATAACAAGCTAACATTTAGAAAGGTAATTAAGTTTGGTAACGAGTGAATAACTTTTGAACTTATACAAATTTCATCGAGATACTCTTCTCAAAAAGAAACCGAAAACATAACAAAATAGACATTATCTTGAGTTCCCTAATGATCATAAACAAAATTATTAAATTGATTAATCATATCCAATTTGTGAAGACAGAGTTAATCATCGAGAGTGGGCTTGTGCGCAGCACGGGCTAACCATCACTAGTTTCCATCTACCCACACACATAGCCCCACTAATCATAATAGAAGGTTTTTGGGATCTTTATAAAATAGATGGCCAGATTTACATAAAAAAATTCACAGGGCGCCCTATTTAGTCACCCCATTTAACTTGTACTCACTTTTTTAAAAAAATTTAACTGACACCCAATATTTAGGTAATTTCAGATACCGCTTTTTCTCTGTTGTTGCTTCTTCGCTACTGCTGTTTCTTTTTTGTTATTGGGTTGTTGCTTCTTCTCTATCGTTGTTTTTTCACTGCTTCTTCTCTGTTCTTGCTTCTTATTCTTCTTCATTGTCCTAAAACTAAGATCCAAACTTAGAGTTGGTACTTGTAGACTGTAATGGAGAAATCAAAAACCATCAGTGTTGAATATAGAGAAAGCTTACTCGACAGTGACCATGTTGAAACCAATGAAATGGACTTCTTTGAGAGATAGAAGAACTTCAAATTTAATTCTGAAGTTGCATTGAAGAGATAAAAGAACTTCAGATTTGAAGTTACATTGAAGAGATAGAAGACCTTTAGATCTAATTCTGAAGTTGCATTGAAAAGATAGAAGAATTTCATATTTTGATTCTAAAGTTGCACTGAAGAGATAGAAGAACTTTAGATGTGATTCTGAAGTTGCATTGAGGAGATATAGAAGCGCTTCAGATCTGATTCTAAAATCCTAAATTTGTAACTTTAGATATGAATTCTAAAGTGTATTTTAAAGTGGGTAAATTTTGTAAATTTTTATGCAATGCATGTCTGAATTTAACAGTGGCCCCAAAATCGAATATATCTACACTTCCTACTTTTTTTAGCCGATATATAAAGATTATATACTGAATACATACGACTATACACGTATTAACTATAAATTTTATGTATATTATACATCCACCTATATTTTTAGTTTAAGCAGTATGGCTAGTTGAGTTAATCCTTCAAGTTTTTTTCCAAATAAAGTAGTGAAATTGTGATCTAAGGCCGACTTATCCAATACCTAGGAGGTAAGTGATAGATTATTGTACAGCCAACTATGCAAAACGCCCAGCCCATACTTAATTGTAATGCGGGCCGGGAGATACTCTCATTGTCCAAACGTTCTGTGGGGTCAATTGGTTTTGTGATGCATTACCCTTTTCTTAGTTTTATATCAAAAAATTTCAATGAAATTTTTATTTTTACACGTAAGAGATATGAAAATATAGCACGAAATTTTTGATGGGTCATATCGTTTATGCAAATCATAAAGGGTGATGTTGGATTTTTCCTTTATTTTCAGTGATCATCCTATTGAGTGGTTAAAACACTTAACTCATTATTAGTAAACTCCTCAATTCAATTCTTAACATAGAGTTAAAAATATTATTTTAGAGTATCTTTTATATATCATATTTGTAACGACTTGGCCGATCGTTTTGAGTGTTGTAGCCCCGTTCTCCTATTTTATACTTATTCTATGCTCAATTACTATTATATGAATTTTCGGGGTGGTTGGTTCGGTTTTGGGGATATTTCGGAATGGAATGGGACCATTAGTCCCAAGGTTAGAAGCTTAAGTTGAAAGAGTTGATCGGATATTGACTTATATATAAACGACTTCATAATAGAATTTTGATGGTTCCGATAGTTTCATATGGTGATTTTGGACTTAGGAGTGTGTCCAGATATTGATTTGGAGGTCCGTAGGTGATTTTGGCTTAAAATTGCGAAAGTTGAAAAATTAGAAGTTTGGATAGTTGAGAAGTTTGACCGAGAGTTGATTTTATGGTTGCCGGGCTCGAATTTTGATTCTGAAAGTTGGAATAGGTCTGTGATGTCATTTATGACTTGTGTGCAAAATTTGAGGTCAATCGGAGTTGATTTGGTAGGTTTTGAAATCGAATGTAGAAATTAGAGGTTCATAAGTTCATTAGGCTTGACTTAGGGTGTGATTCGTATTTTTGATGTTGTTTGATGTGATTTGAGGCCTCGACTAAGTTTACATTGTGTTTTAGGACTTGTTGGAATATTCGGTTGAGGTCCCGGGGGCCTCGGGGTGTAATTCGGATCATGTTCGACGCATTTTGAACCTTGGAAGAATTCTGAGTTTGCTGGTGCTGGTTTTCTTGTACGCGATCGCGAGAATAGGATCGCGATCGCGAAGTGTTATTTTGGCAGCTGGGATTTATTTCTACGCGTTCGCAAGCTTGGGTCTGCGATCTCGTAAGTTGGAAAGCCAGTGAATCGCGAACGCGTAGGTATAGTCGCGTTCGCGAAGAGGAAAGGAGGAGACTGGGTTCACGCAAATTTGTTATTCGCGATCGCGTAATGATGTCTACGATCGCGTAGGTTTGGGAGTTTGTGAGTCACGTTCGCGTGGTAGATTCCGCATTCGCGTAAGAGAATTTCTAGGCAGCTGAGTTTTGTACTTCGCGAACGCGAGGCACTTTTCACCTTTGCGAAGAAGGGGAGTTCGGGCAGATTATAAAAATATCAAAAAATGAGGGTTGAGTTATATTTCACAATTTGATTTCGGGAGCTTGGATTGGGGCGATTCTTGGAGAGCTTTTCAAGGGAGTTATTGGGGTAAGTGATTCTAATTTGGTTTTGGTTAAATTACATGAAATATCATTGATTTCATCATTTAATTAGTGTTTTTGGTTGAAAAATTGGAAAAATATTGTAGAAACTTCCTAGGCTTTAATTTGAGGATTTGAAGATCGAGTTGTGATCGGATTTGAGTAATTTTGGTATGGTTGTACTCGTGGTTGAATAGGTATTCGGATTTTTTTAATTTTGTCAAATTCTGAGACGTGAGCCTAGGGTTGACTTTTTGAGTTGACTTTTTGACTTTTGGTTAAGAACTTAGCTTTTTTATATGGTTGATTCCTATAGCTTGTGTTGCTTGTATCTAGTTATTTGTGGCTAGATTCGAGTCGTTCAGAGACTGATACGCGAGGCAAGGGCTTGTTGGAGTAGAGATTTGCACAGTTTGAGTTAAGTAATACTTCTAAACTTGGTACTATGGGTATGAATTCCTAAATTACGTGTTATGTAATTGGCGTTGAGATGACGCACATGCTAGGTGACGGTCGTGTGGGCGTGCACCATAGTAATTATGACTCGGTCGATTCCGTGGAACTGTGTAGTCATATAACTTATTATTTTCCACGTATTTCTCATGTGTTAAAGAAATTGAGTTGTGATTTATATTAGAAATCATGCTTAGGCTATATGTTGGTACTGTTGGAACCCACAAAGGTCGTGTTGCTGTTAAATTACTTGCTTAATTTGCAATTGTGTACTCAGACACAACTATCATTTGCATATCATATCCCAGTCTTTGTTCCATTTATTTATGCATCATATCATCATTGTTTGGGATGATTATTATGATACTTGTGAGCCCGAGAGACTGGAGAGATTGATGACTGAGTGAGGCCGAGGGCCTGATTGCTAGAATATTTATGGGATCAGGTTGCACGCTGCAACAAGCTTTATTGATTCATGCCATGATTGGCTTATTATAGCGCTTGGACAGGTTCCGGCCCTCCGGAGTATGACTTATCAGCAGTGAGCGCATGTACCTACTGAGTGCGAGTGCCGAGAGATTGGGAGGATTGAGTGACTGTGAGGACCGAGTGAAAATGAGTGATTGTGAGGATTAAGTGAATGAGAGGACTGGGCGATTTGATACTTTGAGAGTATGCATATGATTTCATCATTGTTTTGCATTACAGTTGACATACATAATTGACATGTGGATATCGAGATGTATCATTCCTCATTTCAGTTACACTTGGCATATTTTACCTTTTTGAGCTTTAACTGTTAAACTTGTAAGCATGCCTACATTTTTGTACTGTGATTTCTATATTTGGACTGTACCTATTGAGCTCGTCATTGCTTTCAGCCCAAGGTTAAGTTTGTTACTTATTGAGTACATTGGGTAGGTTGTACTCATACTACACTCTATATTTCGTGTGCAGATCCAGGTACTTTCAGGTACGGTAGTTGCTTATTTTGGAGCATTATCAATTCAGAGATTTTTGAGGTAGCTGCGTTGGCGTCCGCAGACCTTGACTCTCCTCCTTTATCTTTTAGTTTTTATCTAGAATGTTCTATCTTCCTAGACAGTGTTCCAGACCATGTTATTGTATAGATGCTCATGTACTTAGTGGCACCCGAATTTTAGGAAAGTTTGTATTCGAGTCGCAGTTGTTTATATCGGCTATTTATGAGAGTTATTGCTGTTAAACTTGTTTCATCTTATTTAAATATAAAAATATTTATTTTATTGTGATTGTCGGCTTGCCTAGTTCTGTGATAAGCGTCATCACGATATGTTGAGTTTTGGGTCATGAAAATATTAGTGATAATAGTAAATGAAAGTTTACAAGTAATAGCTGAAGTTTGTTTGATGGTGAAAACATTCACAAAACTGAACTTTTAAAAGCTCTGAAAGTTATATCGAAATAATTAAGTCACATTATGAAACAATATCACGTGGAGGGAGAGAGTACTATCTTAGAACACTTAAATTCTTCATTAC